TATTAGGAGAAAATATACTTTATGTAAAGTATTTGCATACATTTACAATTTACCTGGGATTTGAGCTGTGCTGCATGCTGCAATATGCTGCTGAGCAAATTATTAATATGAAGATTATCAGTATAACTCAGCGTAGGTGTGGCTCAGTATGTTATACAAGAAACTGAATACACACATTGGTTGCATTTCTTGCTCACCATGCCAAGTACTGCATGATATCAGAAACAAAATTGTTCTGTTCCAGAAGACAATATCCTTATTCATTTTCTCCTTTTGATACTGTATATAGCCTCTTACAGGAATGTGCTCCTTCAGTTCCCACACCAAAAGATTTACAATCTTAAGATGTTACAACTGACAAAACAGAGTTGCAAATTTATGACTTCTAAAAGCATAGAAACTCATTCCTTATGAGTATGTGCTGTACCTTCTATTACTATATATTGTGATATCTTATTTACATGAGTGAAACACAGTCAAGGGACTCAAGCAACTTTTCATGATCATATCATTCAAAAGAGCCAAAAGGTAATTTTTCCCAAGGAGAACGATGCCTTTAGACGAAGGGAAACTTCAGGAATTTCAATCTATAATCAGTAATATCTTCATACATGCCCAAGTGCATGTATAATGGTACACATACGTAGCATGTACATAGATCACATACACTGATGTATGGCATTTTACAGAACACATTTTGGACTGTAAATTACATTTTATGGTCACAGACTTCTAATGAAATTTAGGCAATGAACATATAAACGTATATATACCGGCTTAATCTGCCTTTACACCTGTGTATATGCGGAACAGATAAATGATGTGCAGCCCTACACCAGTGTAAGCCACTCCACTCCATAAGAAGACTGAAAAATGGCAGTCACTACATCAGTTCTGGCTATGGCAACATTTGGGTCACGTGTCTGTGACATTAGGTTCTTTGGTCACCTTTTTGAAAATTTCTTGGAAGTTAAACATTCCTGAAAACAGGCTTAGAATGAAAATACCTCTTCAGCTTTTCTGTAGTGTCACTTCCAAAGAGGTCTACACCTAGGATTAATATACACATTATTGTATCATGTTTTCTTTGGATACATTTGAAACTTACACTGAGTATTGACTCAATCCTGCTAACACTTCCTCCTTCCAGAATATTTAAATGAGTAGAATTGCCATGCCTTTACATTGGTTTGCCCAATACCAGATTTGACCCCAGACTTTCAGTCTCTAATAAATGGTGTTATTAAAAGGTTTCTACATATAGCTTTGTGCAGCACTCAGAGGACAATCAATTGTGTGTCAAACTGCTTGCCTAGACAAGATAACACACAGCTATTTTGTTACAAAAAATTTTCTAAAAGCCTCAAATTGTGTTTGGCACGTGCCAGAAAGTTGCATTAAGGTATTAAGACTGCAAACAGTATTCACCTTAGATCTAGAGCTTGCTACTCGACAATATATATTCACTCCTGTATCCATGCCATAAAAAGGACAACTAGAGAGAGACAGACCATTTAAGTAATTGTATATCACAAATTAACAGGGTTAGTAATTTACACTTTATAATATTGGAAAGCTTGGAATCAAGTGCTTGGGTTTCCACCTGTTTTGTAAGTTAGTGGCATTGAAAATACCTCTGGTTTCAGTATGGTACCCTCCGCTACCTTTGAGGACATCATTTCTAAGGTGGGTGCAAGAGGTCGTTAGGAGGAGTTGTTGAAAAGAGCAAAACAGCATTATATTGGGTCTGAAGAAGGTGAAATTTGTCTGTGCTCCTGACCCATGAAATGTCAGTCAGCTGGTGATGATGATTAAAAGAGATTCTGTAACTTTCAAAGTCTCTCCAATAGGCACCTGCCCATCTATTTTTGATGATTTGAACAATGCATTTTTATTTTGCAGTTAAGAGAGGTGTCGGTAACCTGTTTTGGTCAAGCATCAAGCTCTGTGGTGTTATCTGAATGGTTTCTGTGTCACTATTGCCGTGCAACAAAGTGCCCCTTTGTTTCATCAAAAATGAGCACTCAGTGCACTGACAGAATTTGGCATGTCTCTTCAAAGAGTGAATGGATATCACAGAAAAAGGTTCAGTGATTCTGGGGATTGGATGAGCTTTAGATATTTTCCCTTTCAATTCTAAGACCCAGTGCAGCCACCTGGGAATCAGATACAGTCCTATGGTTGTAAGCGTGAGATAAGTGGAGAAATTGAATAAAGGCATTATGTAAAAAATGGGAAAAGGACTGAATTAAAAATCATTTCTTGTAAGCAAACTAATTCCCTTACCTGTCCTGCTAACAAGTCAGAGTAATAAAAATGGAAGAATTTTTAGAAGACTGTTTACTTTTCTCAGCTTATGCTGCTTGTTTGCTATTTGCATTGCTGTCAGCTTGGACAATAAAAGTCAATGAAACCTATTTTTATTTTTATTACAGTTTCATTTTCAGGTCCTCAGTACTGCAGGGCCTGTGTTGCAGATATGCTTGAATAATGTTTAATTATTTTCAAAAAAAGACAGTGGGGTTTTTTTCTTCTTCTTGGTTTGTTTTGTTTTCAAAAGCTGTTTTTTTTTACAAAGCCTAAAGATATTTTCTCTTGTTTTCCTCAATTGTAACAAAAAAGAAAGTTTAGATTGAAAGTAAATGGCTTCCCCTTACATAGAGTGAAACACAGCAATTTTCACATGGCAGATATGTGGCTTTTATGTGCTGAATGATCTAAAAATAGGACAAATAAAACATGCTTGATCATAAGGTAAAATTATGTACGTTTTGTCAGTATAAAACGATTTAAAAATATACACAGCATTGTATTTTTCTTGATTGATCAGTTCTCCTACCTACTGCATTTCACACACAGAGTTCAAAAGTGCCCACAGCTGATTCTGACTTGAGCATTTATCAAACTCACTACACCTTGGGACTATATTGGCTGAGGCTATGGGTCCAGACATGTTTGCTAATGGAGATATGCTTCTCCAGACTCAAAAGGATGATATTTGCTCCACCCTTCATGAAGACAGCGTAATATAATATAGGTTGAATACCCCAGGGGAGAGAATGCACCATCTCAGCCTCTGCAGCTACTCCTGCAACCTGGAAAAGAAGCTGCAATCCCTTTGTGCCATGTGTATGGAGAGGGTAGTGAAGGCCACCGGAGAAGCAGGGGTGCAAGGCTTCTTTGGTAGGGAACATGCGGTATGCACAACTTCCCCAGGAAACAAGGACTTTTGTAACATCAAGAAACTTTGCACACACCCTTCCTACCAAGATAGATCTCAACATACCAGAAAGCCTTGGGTCCTATTTCTTAAGACAGATCTATTTCTTAAGACAGTTTTGCCAGGAAAAACCCCTTTAAAAAGAAACATTTGGCTTCTGAGGGGAAGCTAGAGGAATTCCTCATCTTTATGGTGAAACAAAACACAGCAATATTCATTCAAGCAATTATAATTATTAATAGCTATTGACATCCTGCTTTCAGTTGCCCAACTAATAAATGAGAACGTCAATGTACCTCAAGCATTACTCCCTGCAGAGGAAAAATGTGAAGTTTGGAAACAGCAGCTCCAAACCTACGTCACAAACACGCCAGACCGTTTATTAGACTCGGAGAGTTTTAAGGCAGTTATTTCATGGAAGAGTGCTGCAGCAGCCGTAGATGCTGTGATAGATTAGGCATGATTTATTCCATCTCCACATTTCCTTTGTTTGCCAGCGTTGCAGCTACTGAACTAGTAAAGGGAGCGAGCAAAACTTGAATACATACCAATGCAGGCAAGGCCTTGGTGGCTCCCACTGGCGAGGGGGGGCACTGGTTGGTGGGCACTGCCAGGCAGAGCAGAGGACATGGTGTCCTTCAAATGAACTATGAGGATGAGGGTGAAGAATATGGGAAGAAACAGTTGCCCAAGCCCTCTCATCCTAGGGAGAAAGAGAAAGAGCCATGAGGCAGAAAGAGAGGAGTGAGGGGCACACATTCATTCCCCTGCTAACCAGGCAGGGACTCACACACCTGTTTCTTATTCACTGTCAGGGGGGAGAGAAACACTCAGTTATGGCCCCACACAGGTACTCAGGGAGCTCCTGGTTCTCCACCACTGAATCCCAACCCTCATGGGAAAGGACAGTGCCCTATTACATACATGCATGGAGGGGCGGGAGGGAATACACAAGCAAACAGTCACCCCCCCTCAAAACTGTCTCCCCTTATTCCTACACACCTGTTGTTACCCTTTTCTCTCTTCCCCACCTTTTTTCCTCCTGCTTGTCTTGGAACAGGAGGAGGCTTGTATAAGCTGGGCTCTGTCGTGACTTGTAGCAGCAGCAGCAGCAGCAGCAGACTAACTGATCTTAAAACCACAGCAAATGCTACAGCCAGTTAGAGTTAACAGAGCAAGATACTTCTCTACACAGCTACTGTTGCAAAAAAAAAAAAAATAGAAACCCACAAACTACCGTCTACTTTTGCTCCTGACCTCCCCTACGGAAACCAATAGAAAAACCCAAACCATTCCACTGATCTCTCAGGTTGCACCTTCCACGTTGTTAGAAATAGGGAATATTAATAATAATAATAGATAATACCCTCTGAGTCGGTGTCTCGCTCACTGTAAATGGCACGGTTCTCCGTATTCTTTTTCCTCTTTACTAACAAGTGTAGTTTGCTTGTTGTGGGGGTGGGAATTAGATTGAAGGGTGCCCAGCCCCGTATTTCACTAGGGCTTTCAATTCTCCTGAAATCTAATCATGAGGAAAGAAAAGAAAGCAAAGCCAAGTTGCCATGGAATGAGAACAATTGGATTAAAAGTAGCTGATGGTTTCAAACCAGACATGGACACCTCTACTCTCATCAATGTTTGCAGAGTTTGTTTACACAGACAAGTTTACATGTTTAAAAAAACCCATAATTTCCTGCTTTGACTGTCAGAACTACTAAGGGGTTTGGTGCTTTTTTTAAAGGAGATTTGCAAGAGGGATTCAAATAAATGCCTCTGTCTGAAGTAAAAATAAATAGTAAAATGGCACATTAAAATGACAGAACATTACACATGATATGTCCTCAAATATCTTAATCAAAGAAAGATGGTCTTTGGGGTAAGACACTTATCATGGACTAAGGAGAACTGGGTTCACCGACTTCCTGAATGCCACTGCATAACTTATTCTCTGTATGCCTCAGTTCCTCATATGATAAATGGGAATGAATGTACTCTCTTTGTCCTGTTTTCCATCTTGGCTTATAAATTCTTACACTCTTTCTCTTGCTATATTTTTGTGCAATTTGGCAGGTATTCAATCTAGTTTGGGGTCTCCAATACAAAGAACTTCAATAAATGCTGATGTCCTTTTATATGGGAACCACCAACAAATGCTGGTGTCCTTTTATATGGGAACCTTAGATAACAGACAGCTCAAGAACTGAAAGTTTCGATTGATTTTAAGGAATAAACACAGTATCCTGTTGTATCAGGTGCTGATCTGATAGCTGTGGGAAAGTTGATTGAAAAATGTAATCTGAAAGCATCTCGCAGCAGATTGTAATTTGCATTCTTTAAACCAATCTTCAGTACTATAAATATATGCTCCTTGCCCTCAAAGAACATGAAAAAGAAACTGAAGGTAATAGTTGTAATTTGAATTCCTCAGACTGGTCCCTGCTTTTCTTGGAGCTGGCAGTCAGAGGAATAACTAGGAGTGTTGGCATCCTGGGTGGGGGAGGAAGGAAGAAGCAGGTGCTACATGCTACTGCTTCACACAGGGACTGCTGTAGCTGCTATGGAAGTGCACGCTCCCTGAGCATAGTGCCAGCTCCCCAAGCAGATGCCATTGCAGTACACCCTCTAAATTGGTGTCCTGGGCTGACGCTGTGCTTGCTCACTCCTAGTTCTGCTACTGCTGGCAGTCTTGCCTTTCCTTTGAATAACAGCCAAACACATGTTTCTTCACATGCCAGACCTATTGAAATCTGCTGGGTTCCTCCCCACCACATCATTAAAAGCTCAGTATAAAAAGACAGTGATGGCAACTCTGCTAATCACCTGTGAAACTTTTTTCACTTGACATCTGGGACAGGGCACTTGGTGTGCTTCTCACTTTAAGAGAAGAGGCTGCTGGGAAAGCAGCCTACAGGTGCGGCAGGAGCCAATTAGGGAGTCACTTGACTAGGAGGGGACTGGGCTTGAGCTATATAAGCCCAGGGGTCTGTAGCCCAAGAAAGATGCTTGCCAGCAGGGCACTGACCTAGGAGTGGGGCCAGGGTGTAGGCAGACTGAAGGTCAAGGTCAGGGATCACAGCTGGAGCCCAAGGAGCCCAGAGCCCAGGAAGGGTGTCTGACATCAGGAAAGAGTAGTACCCGATGGGAGTGAGTATTGGGGAGAATGGAGCACAGCCCACGTTTAGGCTTGCTCTCAGACGCTTAGGCAGCCTCCTTTTAATAAAACACTTGCATCAAAGGTGTGGTGGGTGAGCAAGGAGGGGAGGGCATCCTAGAGCTGGAGCCAAGCAGGGATTGTATGGCCCCCAGGGGCCATCACGGCCACCCCTGGAGCACAAACTTGCTACAACGTCCTTTAAAACAGTTGATATAGATTCATGGGAGGCTCCTCAGTACCTATATTTTAGGGCTGCTCCTATTTTATATCTAGAGCAGTGGTTCTCAACCTTTGTAGTATAAAGGCACTCTCCATAACTTCTGAGAACTGAGCAGCACCCCATTTCTAAAACTATTTTATTTTTACAGTGCTTAGCTCCTTGTGGAAGGGCGGGAGAGTGGGAGCAGGGAAGATCCAGAGCCTGCAGGCATCCCCTCACACCTGCTTGTCTCCTAATATATCGTGGTACCCTTCAAGCTGTCTGGTTGCTAGTCACTGATCTATAGCAAAATACAGAAATAGAGAACAAGGCTCAGAAAGTTCGTACATAGAGCTTTGTTTGCCAGATCATCAGCTGTGGCTAGTGAGCTTAAACCATAAACAGATGTTAGCTCTCTCCTTTGCTCAGTTTAGTTACCTGGCAGGATAACCCAGAAATCCATGTACCAAAGATCTGAGTGATTGTTTTCTCTACAGTTCATGTGTTGTGAAAACTATTGAGCTAATATAAGAACCCAGACCTTTAAAGTATATAATCTGATCAGGCAAATAAGATATTAATGTGCTCACTGTTAAAGTTAAGATGAACATTTGACTCCTCAACATGAAACCTTTCTACCTCTTGCAAGTGGCTGCTTACAAACATGGAAGAAAAAAAAGAAAACAGAGCTTTACTTTCAGCTCGGCACATCCCTGAGCACAGTGCATGCCCAGCTTTAGATAAAAGCACCAAAAAGCCCTGCAGAAGTGTGCAGTCTATACAGACACTGGGGAGTTGGTCAAACTAATGTGCTTCCTCTTCCAGTAAAGTGCTCTTTTGTTTTTTGTTTTTTTTCATGTCTGTCAGCATCTAGGCTAGTATTAACCCAGATGCTCATTTTCCCCTCCTGCTAAGTGTATTTTGAACCTAACAATGGTAATAGTCCATACTTAAGGTTGGACATTATGGCCTTACTGGTCTTTATGATCTCTGTATTCATTTTAGAACAGCAGACAAAGAGCAGATTACATTGCATAGTTCTAAATAAGAGTCTGAATTAGGTTTAACAGAAGAAAAATGCCTTAAAATTCCTTCTAAACTAAGAGACTCACTGAGGCTGTAAACTCTTTGGAGCAGGGTCTGTCTTTTTGTGATTTTTGTATATAATCCAGGACAATGGGGCAGCCATTTGTGACTGTGATAACCTTACTACAAGGTAGTGCCACTTTACTGCAAATAAATAATAAAACAAATAGTATGAACTACAATAGGCAACATCCTGCCTTCCACAGAATGCTAAGGAGAAAGCTTACCATCTGAGTGACACCTCCTGGAGTTATGATACCTTTGCTAACTAGACCATACCTCCTGTTCCGCCCAGCAGCCAAATTTTGGCTGACACGTGTATGAGCGCATTTGTTGATGGCAGGAAGGCCTCTCTGCACCCTTGTGCTTCTCTGATGCCTGCACAGACACAACTATGATTTCCCTTTTAAAAGATCTATACACAATAAAAGAGTCGGGGGTGGGGAGGGGGAGGCTGGAATGAAACCTTGATGTCTTGCTTTAAGCTAAAGATGATTGTGCCTTTAGAACGTTTTGAGACTTTATACCTGTTTTCCAGGTCTGAAAGCCAGTTACTCTGATCTGGATCCTACACAGGCTTTCTGAAAGCCTGATGTTCTTCTTTTCTGTTGTTCCTGATCATTTTACTCTGCTTTATTCATTTTACCAGGGCTATTCATGGGAGTAAGTGATAGGATCAATAGCTAAAATGCGTCATTCCTAATTGAATGTTAATATAGAATCAGTGACAACAGAGACACAGGGCATGTCTACATGGCCTCTGACCATGGTAGGAAGCACAGCCTGTCCAGTGTAAAATGAAGATGATAGTATTTATCTCACAGAGGAGCTGTGAGGATAACTACATCTGAAAAACTGTGAAATGCTGAGATCCTGTGGTTGAGGTTTCAGACACTGTAAGGCTGGAATTCACTAATTTAGTGTGCATGCTGCAGCCCCATACTGGAGCACAATACTCTGCAGGAACATACACAAGTGTCAAAGTGGAGGTGGGAAGTGTTCGGAAACTTGTACCCCAAGTGACACCAGCAAGGCAACATATAAAAGCTCCTCTGCTGTTAACCTTACCCTTCCAGTAGGGTTGCCAACTCCATTCAATCTATTCTGGGACGTTTAGGGACAGACATTACACACAAACTGGTTTAAGTGATCAGAAACTGGTTTAAACCTGTAACAGCAGATTTTCAGTGCACATAAACAAGTTTGAGAATGGCTGAAAGTGGTTTAAGAGAAACCTGGTTGAATGTAGTATCAGACTTAACTGATTTTGCTCCAACCAGTTTATGCAATCTCTGTCCCAGACCCCTTGCTGTTTTAAGATAAACCAGACACCTCCAGCATCCTAGCATGCTCTCTGGGCTGGGCAGAGCTCTTTGTTCCACAGCAGGGCTAGCCCCTCCCCTCTGCTCCCTGGCCAGAGCTCTGGCAGAGGCTGCAGGATGCTCCCCGCCTCCACTCCCTGCTAAGCTGGAATTCCCCCCTCCCTGCTCTGTCTTGCTAAGGAGATATCTGTGTATTATCTACCAGACCACATGCTGGCTACAGTCTGTGCTGAATCAACAGGTAGCTGGTAATGTCCCTCTGTTGTTTTCTTAATTGGGAGATAAACACTGTTATTAATTTCCAGCTGGCTAATCACAGCATCTTGCCAGAGCCTGGCTACACCCCCCTGGCTACACTTCCATGCTGTGGA